AATCAAAGGCGTTTTTCCTTCGAGACCGTGTACTTGCCGATACTTGCCAACGATCGTGCCAACGCAATCCTCGACTAATTTTTACATTTTTCAAGGACAAGAGAAAATCGGAAACTCGATGTTCGAGGTGCCGTCATTTTTTTAATTCTTCTTTCTTTCTTTTTTTTTTTTTTTAGAAAACTACTCGTAGGCGTAGTGGGGAACATTTGTACGTCGATTAATAAGAATCGATCAGTAGGATTTTTTTGTTTCGGAGAAATAGAGCGGCTCGAGCCATCGTCGGTACAAGTTCTTTTCGTTTACGTGGAAATTGACGCGCACCGGTGCAGCCAATTCCAGTCGTTATTTCTCAGCGAAAGAAATTTGCGATCATTCGTCAAAGAGAAATAAGCGAGAAATAAGCGAGAAGAAACAGGAATTTAAGGATTTAAACGTGTACAACGTGAATTCGAGATACAGTCGTATAAATAGTACGACGATTATTTCGACCGACTTAATCAGCCATGCGAAGAATTTGTTGCACACAATATCAAAAAGTTGTATCCACGCGTGCCCGACGCGTCTAATTATTTTTCAATTAGTCAAAAATTTCTTCCGTCAAGTATCATTTCAGGATAACGTTCGATCACGTTGATCGTTGCGATTGTCGTTGTCAATATAATCACATCGAACGTGTACGAGTCTTATTGACTTGTTACCATTCTGCGTGGTAATTTTTACGAATAACCTCTTTTCTTCGCATATATGTGTACGTAAATGGGAAATCGACGGGAGAGTACTTTTTTCCTCGAAAAATGTAAAAATTCGAACGTTAACAATCTTTTCTCGCAAGGTGCGCTAGGTCCACCATCATTTCGACGAATTTTCACTCGATGATTCTAGCTTGGTTCAAAGTTCGACAGATAACACGGTGGAAAGAGATCGTACGATAGATTTTTTGGAAAAATGACCTTTACCCTTTAATTTCACGGACGTTTGAATTTTTATAAATAATTTCAAGAAAAAGACAAGTCCTGGCTCTGCCACTCACGTTGCGTGACGTTCCTATCTAACCATTCAAAGCAAAGAAATTCAAACTGCGAAAACTGTGGAATCTTGGAATCTTGGAATCTTGGAATCTTGGAATCTTGGAAGTGAAAGCAACTGGATCGTCGTATAATTTTTCTTTTCTACAAGATACAGTAACAGTTTTCAACGTATCAAGAATTTTTCATCGTTTTCAACCGACTCGGTTACGCTCTTCGTTAATAATTCGTTAACAATAATTATATTTACAGTCGAGGAGAAATTATATTCTCGAATATAATATACAACACAGCAATACACGTTTTCTTCCTTTTTTTTTT